AAAGGAAAGAATAGGAGGAAAGACAGATGAGGTGATGAAAGGAGATATTAAGAAAAAGGAAAGAAATAAAAAAAATAAAGTATAAGGGGAGAAAGAAGAGAGGATGCAAAGAAGAAGAGAAAGAGCAGGGAAAGCAAGAATAAAGGAAGGATGAAAGAAGAGAAAGAGGTAGGGAAGCATGAAAAGAGGATGAATAGAATAAAAAGAAGGATAGACAATAATAATAATAATAATAATAATTTGAGAAACGAGACACAATTGTGCCTTAATTAAGTAGAAACAATACAGACCATAAATGATCTGAAATAAAAATTTTGAATTTTAGTACAGTGTAAATAGATTTTTTATTTTTTGAAAAAATTTGATGGTTTATTATTTCAAACCGTTATTATTCTGAATATTATGAAAAATTTTCATTTCTAGCTTTAATTTTTTGGGGAAAAGGTGCAAACATTTTTCAGACCAAAAGCAGTTTGATAATATATACGAAAATTAGCATAGAGCCATTTCATTAACGGAACAAGGGAAACAAAAGGTATCAATTTATTGGGATTGAAGATGATTTGAAATACTTATTCAGACCATGACTAGAACACCTTATCGGGCTTGTGGAATAGACAGTAAACTTTAATTAATAAGATCGTGTCATAAGAAATGAGTCATCTACTTAAATACAAAATTGGAAAGTAAAAGAGGATGGGAAGGCTTTGGAAGTTTTGAGCCTATAGGGATTGAAATCGGTTTGAAATAGTTATCCAGATCATCTTTGGTTTGAGTAAGAGTAGCCAAATGGATCAAATTGTATCCCAATGCATTTTCGTTGTGCCGAATCCCAGTAGCTTAAACTTTTAAATGCAGTACAACTTAAATAAAGAAAACAAAGGTATTAGAGAGGTGTAGTTCTAGACTGGATTATTATTTATCACTTAAATTTTTTGTAGTTTTATTTTGGTCATTGTTCTTAAAAACTGTACTTTCTCACTGTGCTACGTTTAATACAATGGCAAAATTACGTTAATAATTTCGATAAATTTTTTTTGATTTTCAAGAAATTTCACAAAATCTTCTCTAATATTTGAGCTACAACAATATTAAAAACAAATGTACAATACACAGCACCATTTTTTTAAGACAAATATCATAATTCAATTAAATTAAATTTGTCCGTAACTAGATAAAAAATTTTTATTTAATAAAATTTAAAACTTATATTAATATTAATTAATTCATAATGAATTCTTAAAAATTGTGTAGAGTCTCCCTTAATAGTTGGACTTCCTTAGCTGGACTTCCTCCCAATTAGCAACAAACATGCAAGCAACACTATTTCAACTAAATTAAACATGGTACTAACCAAAATAAAAATTTATATTTCAAGCATTAACATTGTAGGTAAAATGTAGATTGGCATTTGTGGGATTAATTCATCCTAAGTCTCGATGCACTTCAAAAAGCCACAAATCTACACAGCAAACATGAAAAAATATATACATTAGTAAACTAACTCATAAATAATAAATTAAAATTAACATGCACAATAATTATAAGTAAATTTATACAAATAAAAGCAAACAATAATCTTGCACAGATTTTTCCAGACTGTTTATGGTCTGTAAAATGCAAAACTAAAATTAGAAGTCACTTCTGTGCTTCTGTGCAGAATTTTCCAGACCGCAACCGGTCCGGAAAGAAACAAGGAAATTGACAAGAAACTTGAAAGGCAAAACCCTTTTGAAGCCCCTCAATTTCTTTGACAGCAAGTGACAAGCTCCTAAATTAAAATGATGGCAAAT